AGAGGATGGCCCAAGTCCTTGGGCCCATGTGGCCGCATCGGGGGCCCAGGAGAGACTCCTGGCTCCCAGCTTCGGATTGGCCCAGCTTTGGCTGTTTCAGGAGTGGACCAGCAGATGGAGGACTTTCTTTGCCTCTCTGTAGTTCTGCCTTTCAAATAAATAAATCTTTAAAAAAAAAAAAAAAAGTTTTGTAACAGTAATGCCAAACTGGAATTTGACAGCTAAAGCAAAATAACTATCAAAACCTTTAAGCTGACAACCAAGAAACTACCCAAAATGAAATTTTTACTCTATGAACATAAGGCTCAATGCAGAAAATCCTCCAAAAAGAATGCCTACCTCATCCTTCATATTCCACAGGTTGTTGTTTTATTTTTTTGCCCTAGATGAAAATTCATAACCTTTTAGCAGACTAAGGTACCTTTAGAACCTAGCCCTACCTCCACCTACCCTGTTAATCTCTCTGAAAACTCAAGCCAAAGGCCCCACTTAACCATTCAAGAGTATAGGTATAGGTATAGGTATAGGTATAGGTATAGGTATAGGTATAGGTATAGGTATAGGTATAGGTATAGGTATAGGTATAGGTATAGGTATAGATACAGATATAGATATAGATATAGATACCATGACTTTTTGGGCTATTTTCCAGCCTGGAGTTCTCAAATGGAAATCCCTCTCAAACCTCAATTTTAAAAGTTTAGGTTCCAGGGCTGGCGCTATGGTCTAGCAAATAAAGCTGTACCCCATGAGTGCCGGTTTGAGTCCTGGCTGCTCCATTTCCAATCCAGCTCCCTGCTATTGCTCCTGGGAAAGCAGAAGATGGCCCAAGTATTTGGTACCCTGCCAACCCAGATGGAGAACCTGGAAGAAACTCCTGGCTTTAGATCAGCATAGCTCCAGCTGTTGCGGATATGTGGGAAGTGAACCAGTGGATGGAAGATTCTCTGTCTCTCCCTATCTCCAACTTTGCCTTTCAAAGAAATAAATAAATTTGAAAGAAAAAGAAAAAGTTGGGGAAAGCGCTATGGCGCAATGGGCTAAGCCACTACCTGACACACCAGCATTCCATATGGGCCCAGTTCGAGTCCCAGCTGTTCCTCTTCCAATCCAGCTCTCTGCTATGGCCTGGGAAAGCAGTAGAGGATGGACCAAATGCTTGGGTCCTGCACCCATGTAGGAGACCCAGAAGAAGGTCCAGGCTCCTGGCTTCAGATCAACCCAGCTCTGACCGTTTCAGCCATTTAGGGAGTGTACAAACAGCTGGAAGACCTTTCTCTGTGTGTGTGTGTGTGTGTGTTTCTCTCTCTCTCTCTTTCTCTCTCTCTCTCTGTAATTCTATCTCTCAAATAAATGAATCTTGAAAAAAAAAAAAAAAAGTTTAAGTTTCTTGGAGCTGGCATTGCAGCACAGCATGTAAAACCACTGCTTGCAATGCCAGCATCCCAAACAGGCGCTAGTTTGAGTCCCAGCTGCTCTACTTCCAATCCATCACCCTGCTAAGGTGCCTGGGAAAGCAGAGGAAGCAAGTGCTCAGCCCCACATCTACAAGCGAGACCCAGCAGATCCGGACTTCTGGTTTAAGCCTGGCCCAGCCCTGATAGTTGCAGCCATTTGCGGAGTGAACCAGCGGAAAGAAGATCTCTGTCTCTTCCTCTTTGTGTAACTGATTTGCAAATAAATAAATAAATCTTAAAAAAAAAAAAAATTAAGTTCCTGAGGCCAGGCATTGTGGGAAAGCAGGTAAAGCCATCTGTGGTTGCTCCACTTCTAATCCAGCCCCCTGCTAATGCGTCTGGGAAAGCAGCAGAGGATGGCCCAAGTCCTGGGAATCCTGCACCCATGTGGGGGAACTGTTAGAATTTCTGGCTTCTGGTTTCAGACTGGTCCAGCCCTGGACATTGCAGCCATAGGGAAGTGAACAGTGGATGCAAGACCTCTCCCTCTCTCTCTCTCTGTAACTCTGCCTTTCAAATAAATAAAATAAATCTTAAAAAAAAAAAAAAAAGTTTAAATTCCTTGAGCACTGTGATCTTAATGGTCTCATTCACGACAGCACCTGCAACTAGAGCATTGCTGGCACAGAGAAAGCAATCAATGAATTAGTGTGGCGAGAATAAAGGTTTCACATGGATGCGCTGTCTTCCATGCTTTCTCCACAGCGCCTCTCTTTTTCAGCTTTTTAGTATGTCTATTTCATTTTCCCTTCCTATTTACAACTACCCAAGAAATTTCATTTAGTCCCAAACTCTTTCCTAAAATAATCTAATACTGGAATCAGTATACTTCAAAACACATGAACTATAGATTTCTAATCATTTATAGGTTTTCTCAAATACTGTCACTTCAGTAAATATGAAAATATTTTCATGTATGTGTCAGAAAATGGGGAAAGTCTAAGATGGTTTACAAAGTAACTGAACAGTAAGGTTTGGGTCTCTAGTATAAACATATACCACCTCCAAACTTTAAAAAGAAAGGAAAAAATTAGCAGATTGCCTGTACTCTACATCAAGTTTATTCGTGCAAGTATCAGAACAAAATCTTAAGACTGAGGATCCTGACAAAACAATGAATAAGCAACCACACAAGCTCACAGAAATTACCAGTCCTAAAGAGATTTAAAATATCAATGTCAACATAAACACTAAGACACCTTTAAGGGGCCTGTGGTGCCAGCATGCCATATGGGTGCCAGTTCCAGTCCCAACTGTTCCACTTGCGATCCAGCTCCCTGCTAATGCACTCGGGAAAGCAGCAGAAGTCAGCCAGAGTGCTTGGGCCCCTGCCATCCAATCGACAGACTAGGAAGAAGCTCCTGGCTCCTGGCTCCACCTGGCCCAGCCCAGGGCGTTGGGGCCATCTGGAGAGTGAACCAGCAGATGAAAGATAATCTTTCTCTCTCCTACTTCTCCTTCTGTAACTCTGCCTTTGAAATAAATAAAAATTAAGACAAAAAAAAAAAAAAACGACACCTTTAAAGGACATATATTGAGCACTGTTTTAACAGAATTCCACTAATTTAGGGCCTGAAGCTGAGTTTATCTTTAATACAGGACCTTGTATTAATCATGAAAGCTACAAAACAGATTACGATAGTTACTCTCACGTGTATGCATGAAAGAGTACTATAACCTAAAGTAGTGGCATAACTACTGCACTGTTAGCTTAACATGAAGGTAACAATGAGCAGTTTCCAGCTCCCAAATCCAGTCCATCCTACCTTCCACAAGCAAGTGTTGGGGAGAAAAAAAATCCCATTAAGAAATCCGATTTAGTTGGTCCCTTAGGTTGAAGGAAGTTTCTTGAAGTCTTTCCCTGCCTTTCAGATTCAAATCACCTACTGCAAAGTTTGCATCAGCAACATGTTAACATTAAGGAAAAGATGAGGTCTGAAGATTTAAGATTACAGTGGTACTGAAAAGCAGTCTATAGAAACCTGATTTAGAAATATCTAAGAAATATTTTTATCTCTCATTTAACAGAACTTAGAAAATCTCATTAAGGTTCTTTTTAAAGTAGCATACAGGTCACTGCAGTCAATTCCACCTTGGTTTCCTGAATGCAAATTTAATTCATAATTTTGTTTACCAAGCGTTCAACTAGCATTGTATTGGGCATATCACTCGGCCAAAACGTTGTACTGCCTACTGAAATACCAGCGTTGTGACTCCTCAAGACATCAGGTAACAACTATTCATCGCGGGCCTCTAAAAATGCTTGTTAAATCAAAAGGCAAGGCTCTGATTCCTGGAGAAATCCAGACTGCCAGGATCAGCAAAACTACATTAGAAAGTTAACAGCTTCCATCCTTAAAATACCCCAAGAGAAGAAAGAGAGTGAGCCAAACTGTTAACACGTATGTGCCCAGGGATACCGCCGAATAACACCCGAAGCAGAACGGCCATATGTATCTGTAATTAAGAGGTCCGACCATGATAAAGCATCATCATGTGGGTTTTTCAGCCCCTGGTGGAAAGATTCAGAAAGCCAAAACTCAGGCAAAAGAAAATAAGGGGAAAAAAAAAAAAAAAAAAGAAAAGCACATCTAAGCATGAACTGCTCAAGCGGCCAGAGATCTGGGACGACCAATACAGACGCTCCTGCCTTCAACCTGTGCGCATCTATTTTGGGACAGAGGATCGGACAATTTAAAAGTGAGAAATGGCGTGCGGCTCCAGCAGAGGCTGCTGCATAAATAGCACAATACAGGGCGGACGGCGCCGTGAGGAAGGAAAAGTACGAAGCGCACCCGGGGAGGAGAGGAGAGGAGAGCAGAGCCGGCTCTGGGGAGTCAGGCACGGCGGCAGCCTGTAACCGGGGGGGTCGCCGGTTTACTGCCTCGCCGGCTCCGAGGCCAAGTTAACAAACTCCCCAGAAGAAGTCAACCTTGGAGACTGACACACGTCTCCCACGGATCCGGGGAGTCGGAGTGGAAGAGCCCACCAAAGCCTTTTTCTGCCCCCGCGCCACGGCCACCGCAGCCGTGGCGCCGAGGAGGCCGCTGGCCTCTCGGCGGCCGCGCAGGTAGCAGCGCCGGACCCCAGCTCGCGGACTCGGCGAGCCGGCGCCACCGCCTCCCCCGCCGCGGGCCCGCGAGCCTCAAAGTTGCGTGAAGACAACTCCAGGGCCGCGCGGCCCGGGGGGCTGCGGCACCTCCCGCCTCCCCCGCCACGACATGGCCCCGGCGGCCCGGACAGGGAGAAAAAAGGGGGCGGCCAACTCGGCCCGGCCGGGAGGACGCGAGGGTCACCGGCCGCAGGCAAGCCAGGGGGTGGGAGCTACTCGAGCCCCTCGCGGCAGCCCCCCTGCACCCGGGCCGCGCCTCCCGCCGAGTCTGGGTGCCATCCTCGGCACCCACCAGCCGAGCCCGTCACGACCCCTGCGCCCGGACGCCGCAGAGCCCTCGCCCGCGGCCCGCGCTCCTCCCTGGGATGCAGCCCGGATCCCACGGCTCGACCCACGGCCAGGCCGCAGCCCTGAGCTGCTTCCCGCCTCACCTGTGCTCCGCGGCGGCTTCGTGCCTTCTCGCCCGCTCCGCGCGCCCCGTCGGGGCACGCACCGACCCTCCAGCCGGGAATCCCGGCCGCGGTGACTCGGGAAGCGACGGCCACCGCCGCCTTCTCCTGCTTGGCACAGGCCCTGGCAGCGAACAGAGGGTCGCGGTCAGAGCCACCGCCGCGGCCAAAGTGAATCTCGCCGCCTCCGCAGCCTCCACCACCAATTCCCTTCAGTCGTCCGCGCCGCCCCAAGAAAATGTCACCAGAGGCCGTTCCGCTCGGCTCCTCACTTCCGCCCGGAACCACAGAGCCCGCGTCGGCCGGCTAGAGCGGCCGCTGCAGCGAGAGCCGCTGGGGATGAAGGCGGAGGCCGGGAGGAAGCCGGACAGCGCCATCTGGCGGGAGGGGACGCGAGCTCCTCCCGCTGCGGAGCGCCGGGCGCGCCGGCGCCGGCTTCACGGGCTTCTTTCCCGCGCTCCCTCCTCCTGCTGAAGCGGCTGCCTTCTAGAAATGTCCTTGCCTGCCGGTGGGCAAGCCAGTCGGTGCGAGCCAAGAACAGTGCCGCAAGAAAGAGACGGCGCTCCCTTTTCCATGCGCTGCTCGGTACTCACCCCCTCCCGAAGATTTCCCGCGGCGGCTGAATTGGAGCTCCTCCTGCCGGGAGCCCGCTCCCCTCTCCCTACTTTTCGGCGAACGCCAGCGGCTGGGCGCGGGGCTGCTCCGCTGTGCTCTTCCCGTGCAGTGGCACCAACATCCTGTGCAAGTTTCTGGCCGGGACCCTGGCGCGCCTCGCGGCTGGAGCCCCACCTGCTGGAGAGACAGCGTCGGCGGGGGAGACGCGCCCCACCCCGGCCCCGGGCGCCCCAGTTTCCACCTCCGCGGAGTCACTGCCGGCTCGGCAGCCCGCGCTGCAACCGGGACGCGCCCCGCCCTCCAGGGGCTCTCGGAGCGCATCCCTGAGGGGGCCAGGGGCGTGAGGGGTCTGCCAGACGTGGGGCCGGGAGAAGGCTGGGGTGGGCGCGCGGGCCCCCTAGAGTTGGAGGGTGGAGGGCTGCCCGGGAAAGAACACGCCGGGCTGAGGACAAACCTCGCACCCCAAGATCTGGCCAAGGCCCGCGCTCCCTGATCAATCAGTGAGAAGGGGGAAAACAAAGACTAAAAAGGGGGAACACGTGAAAGGTCTTTAATCTTTAAGGAGCTGTGCTCAAAACTTGGAAGAGGCCCCCGTGGCTCACCCCGCACAAGACCCCAACGGCCAGGGCTGGACCAGGCAGCCGCCCGGAGCCTGGAACTCCACCTGGGTCTCTCACGTGGGTGTAGGGGTCCAAGTAGACGAACCCTCCCCTCACGGCCTGCTGCCTGCCAGGGTGCGCATTAGCAGGAAGCTGGAGCGGAAATGGAGGAGCAGGGACTCAAACCAGGCACTGGGGCATAGGAGGGGGCTGTCCCAGGAGGCAACTGCATTGCTGGGAAGCCTCCAAACCAGGCTGTTGCTACTGCACAGTGGTGGAAACTGAGGCACACAGTGACCTGGGCAAGAAGACCCATGCAGAAGTAGAAGACTAGGTTCTTACACAGCCAGCTCAACTCGGGCACCCTCTCAACCACAACCACCAACCGCCTCCCTGGGGTGGGTGGAGAGCGCACCGGGACTTTTTGCCAGATAAAACATTTTTTAGAAGCTATTTATTTTACTTACTTGCAGAGTTACAGAGAGAGAGAGAGGGAAAAGCACGAAGAGAGATGTGATGTGGACCGGGTGCTGTCTCCACTTTGCTCACTCCAGCAGAGTGACCTCCGGGCGGTTCTGCCACCTCTCCGAGCCCCTGGGTCCCTGCCTGTCAAACACGGATGACCCCTACTAGTCGCCTGCAGGTTCATGGTGGATGTGAGGGAAGAGTCCTGCCTGCAGAGCACGTTTGCGCACCTGCTGGGGCTGTGGTGGCAGTACTCTGGGTCACGCACCTCCTGGTGGCTGAATGCCCTGACATTTCCATCCCAACAGGCTCATCTTTCCAGAGTGACAAGTTCACCTGGAACCAGAATGGAACAGTACAGAAGGATGTCACAGAAGTGGAGCAGCAGGTACCCAGAGTGGCCTGGAGGGGCATCCCCCACAGATCCTCCTGTCCTGGGGGCTGATGGGCTGAGGCTGCTCTGTCCCCAGTCAGGTGCTCTGGCACCGGCTCCCAGAGCTTTATTCTAATCAAGTGAGTTCCCCAGATCTGTAACTGTATGGAAAGTCTGTAACTGCTGAAAAACAAATGTGGAAGTAAATACAAAGGAAGGATCTAATTATTTATTTTGATTTACTTGAAAGAGAGAGACACACAGATCTTCCATCTACTGGTTCTCTCCCCCAAATGCCTGCTATACCCGCCACTGGGCCAAGCCAATGTCAGGAGCCAGAAACTCAGTCTGGGTCTCCCACATGGGTGGCAGGGACCCAACTATTTGAGCCATCACTGCTGCTACCACCCCGGGTGCACAATAGCAGAAATTGGAGTTGGAAGTTGAGCCCATAATTGAACCCAGGCACTTAAAAAAAAAAAAAGATTCATTCATTTATTTATCTGAAAGGCAGAGAAGGCAGAGAGAGAGAGAGACCTATTTTCCATCCTCTGGTCCACTCCACAAATGCTTGCAATAGCCAGGGCTAAGCCAGGCTGAAGCTATCAGCCAAGAACTTCATCCAGGTCTCCCACTTGGGTGGAAGGGACCCAAGCACCTGAGCTATCATTTGCTCCCTCCCAGGCGCATTAGCAGGAAGCTGGATCAGAGGCAGAGTAGCCAGTCTGATAGGGCATACCACTATACCTGCCCTGAATACAGCATGTTTGTTAGCAAGTGTGTGTTTCTCATTTATTTATTTATTTATTTATTTTTTGACAGGCAGGCAGAGTGGACAGTGAGAGAGAGAGACAGAGAGAAAGGTCTTCCTTTGCCGTTGGTTCACCCTCCAATGGCCGCCGCGGCCGGCGCACCGCGCTGATCCGATGGCAGGAGCCAGGAGCCAGGTGCTTTTTCCTGGTCTCCCATGGGGTGCAGGGCCCAAGCACTTGGGCCATCCTCCACTGCACTCCCTGGCCACAGCAGAGAGCTGGCCTGGAAGAGGGGCAACCGGGACAGAATCCGGCGCCCCGACCGGGACTAGAACCCGGTGTGCCGGCGCCGCTAGGCGGAGGATTAGCCTAGTGAGCCGCGGCGCCGGCCCCTGTTTCTCATTTTTTAATGAAAGGAATTGCTCTTTATGACATGGTACCCTGTCTGTAGGGCTTACTGAGTAGGGAAGAGGGTCCTCCATCCCACTCCCCCATATAAACTAGCACTCATCACAGTACTTGTTTATTTCCTTCATAACATGAAATTTTTAAAAAATTATTTTATTCAAAAAAAGCAGTGGCTAGCGTTGTGGCGTAAAGGATAAAGCTGTCACCTGCAGCATCCGGTCTATAGGGGCCCCGGTTTGTTTCCCAGCTGCTCCACTTTCTATCCAGCTCCCTGCTAATGGCCTGGGAGGACAGCAGAGGATGACCCAAATGCTTGGGCCCCTGCAACCACGTGCAAGACCAGGAAGAAGCTCCTGGCTCCTGGCTTCGGCCTGGCCCAGTCCTGGCTGTTGCAGCCATCTGGGGAGTGATGCAGTGGATGGAAGATCTCTCTTTCTGTCTCTCGCTGTAACTCTGACTTTCAAATATATATATTTTTTAAATAATAAATTATTCAAAAAAGCCGACAGATATCCTCTGTCCACTGATTCACTCCCCAAATGCCCACATCAGGCAGGGCTTTGAGTACCCAAAGCCAAAACCCCAGAACTCACATTCCAGGTTTCCCACACAAATGTCAGAGAGCCGAGTTCTTGAGCAGTCTCCCAGGCTGTGCATGGGCAGGAAGCTGGATCAGAAGTGGAGCCCAGGATGCTGGTTTCTTTCCTGGCTGGTCCACTTCTGATCCAACTCCCTGCTAATGGCCTGGGAAAGCAGCAGAAGATGGCCCGAGTCCTTGGGTCCCTGCCACCCATGTGGGAGTCCTAGATGAAGCTCCTGGCTCCTGGCTTCAGCCTGGCCCAGCCCCGACCGTTACAGCCATCTGGAGAGTAAACCAGCAGATGGGAAATCTCTGTGTCTCTCCATCTGTCTCTGTAACTTTGCCTTGCAAATAAACAAATTAAAAAAAAAAAAAAAAAGCAGAAGAAAGAAAGAAAAGGAGAAGGAGGAAGTGAAGGAAGAAGACAGAGGAGCCCAGACTGTGATAAGGGGATGGGAATGCAGGTGGGCTCCTGGCTCCTGTTACCTTCTGTGCCACACATCCCTACAGAGGTAACATTTGCCCTCAGGGTTCCAGCTCTGAAAATCCTTTCTTCTCTGACCCAGTCGGGTGGCCCTGTGTGGAGACGTGTTGTCTCTTGTCCTGTTCTGTTCCGCATGCCCCACGGCTGGCTTCAGATATACTCAACACACGTGCTGTGAATGGGGGAAGTGGGTGTAAGATTCAGAAACCGGATTCCAGGATGTCAAAACAAGGAAGTGGTGCCAGGTGCCAAGTGGGCGAGAAGCTGGGAGGAGGAAACCCATAGACAAAGGAGTGGGGCGGCCTGCCCCTGGGGTTTAAAAGGAGGAGGAGGAAGAGGAGGAGAGGCCATGCCTTGAGGGCAGAGTGCAGGTCAGCCTTCTTGTGGCCTCCCTGGAGTCATCACTGGGTGTGGCTGTGGGGTACAGGGGGGAAAGCCCCTAGGGTATTTGGAGAATAATAGCCCAGATAGCAAAGCAGGGGGAGGGGGAAATTAGAGAGAGAGAGATAGAGAGCGCGGGTGTGCGCGGGCGCTAGCTTCCATCCGCTGGGTCACTTCCTAAGGCTAGCCGGGAACTCAGTCCAGTCTCCCACTTGGCTGGCGGGGCAGGCACTTGAGCCATCACCTGTTGCCTCCCAGGATGCATTAGCAGGAAGCTGGATCACAAGCAGAGGTGCTAGGACTCAACCAGAGCTCTGATAGGAGATGTGGGCATGCCAGGCCCCAGCTTAACCCGCTGCACCACAGCACTGGCCCCAAGTGCTAATGGGAAAGCAGGGACAGATGTTCTCACAGAGACTTCCACTGAGTGACAGCCAAGCCAGCAGAAGGGGCCAATGTTGTGGCACCACAAG